CCTGCCCTCTGCTTCTTGGCTCTAAGAGTTCAAGTGAGGGGTAAGGGGCCTTAGAATGAGGAATTCCAGCACCAGACTTTGTAGACAAGTCCAGAAGCAGGGCAGAGAGGACCTCCCAGGACCTCTGAGCAGCCCCCCAGAGGACGTCAGCCAGTGTCATAAATTCCTACGTTGTCTGCCCTCGAAAGGGTCTTCGAGATAAGTGAGTCCAGTCCCCACGTCACACAGCTGAGCAAGCTGTGGCCAGTGAGGGATGGCGCCTTGCTAACAATCACACCACTAGACCGGTCAGCAGCAGGATTAGCTGGTCGGGATTCCTTAGTGTTTCTGTCAGGTGAGGGCCCATTGTTTACCTGGCTGGACTTAGGGCCCACTGGGCACACACACGCACACACACACACACAATTTTTTAAAAAAAGTCTTTTCTCAGCAGGACCAGAGCCCTTTTGACCTGAGAACATTCCAGGCTGAGTGAGGAGGGGCAGGCAGGGGGCAGGTCGCTCTGTATTTTACCACAACAGGCAGACCCCACATCTGTTCTGTTTTCCATCCCAGGGTGTTGCCACTCTGCTGGCTGCCCAGCCGGCGAAGGGGCTGTGGTCACACGTGCCCAGCACTGTCTGCATGTCTCGGCAGGCGTTTGGTGGTCCTGCGTGGAATTGGGGAGAGGGGTGGGTGTAACTCTGAGGCAGAGACCTCCCTCTGGGCCCCGCAGCCTTTGGGATCTAGTTCGAGGAGCTTGCGTACCCTGCCACAGTGCAGTCCACAGTCGGAGGGCGCTGGAAAGACGGGCTTAAGAGGCGGGCCTTTGTCCCCCACCCGCTGCTCTTCCACTCTTTCCCCATATGGTTCTCATAAGGTCTGGGCGCGGAGACAGCAGCCAGAGGAAGTGGCTGTGTACAGAGAGCTTTTGTGAGCAGAGGAGGGGGAGGGGAGAGGGAAGAGAAGAGGGAAGAGGCCGGAGACCCGGCCGGAGGAGCAGACCGCCCAGACACTTGCTAACCTCCCGGTGGGTGCCAGCTGAGGCACCCCTGGTGGGCTCCTGGACCCCTACCCACGCCCAGCTGATGTGAGGGCCGAGGAGGAATCCGAGTGTCTCCCTGACTGCCCGCTCACTTGGGAACCCCGCCTGGAGGGCCCCCCTGGTGCAGGGTCAGGGTCCCACGGTCCGGGCAGAGCTCTGCCGGAGTCTGAACATGCCCAGCCTTGACTCGCTCCTGTCTTTCAGCTCACGGGCCCTGGACCTGCAATGGGTTCTCTGGGGCTTGAATTCTCAGGATGTGTGCCCCACTGGACCCAGCCTGGGCTAAACCCCACAGAAGTCCCTCCCTTAGCTACTGTGGATCAGCCCTCTGAGACCGGAGGAGACTGGGAGGGGTTGCAACCCCCAGGCTGAGGGAGTCAGAGATATCCCCCCAAGGCACAGGCAAACCGTAGGTTGACCTTTAAATTTGGGGTCATGTTTTTGAAGAGAGGGAGTGTTTCTAAGTTTATCCCACGTGGGAGTCATTGGGATAAGAACGCCATTCTGCCGCGGAAAAAGTCGCAGCCAATTCTGAGTTGGCCCAGCTCTTTCCTCTCAGTGGCGGGGCACTGGCGGGCTATTCTCTTCACCGGGCCCAGAGAGGGGATGCGGGCTCTGGAATGTCACACAGCCTGGCCCAACATTCCTGACGTTCAGGCTGCCCCAGGAGGGGAGCTGAGAAGAGAGGAGGGAAATGGCCCTGGGCTGAGGAATCAGAAGGAAAGGCCGGTGACCACTAGGAGGGCTGTTCAGAGGGGCTGTTTATTTTCATTCCCCCAGCCCAGCCGCTGTGTTCTATTTAGAGCTCCGATGCTAACCGGACAAGCTGCCTCCTCCCCTTCCTCCCTCCTCCAGGGGCCCCCATCCTTCCCAAACTCCAGAACATTCCTTTGCTTTTAGGACTGGGCTGTGGAGAGGGAGGGAGAGGAGGGAAGACAGCCTGGAGCTGGAGTGAGCTGACTAGAAGCCTCCCAGGCCCGCTTTCCCCGCGGACCAGGGAGCGGGGGGCAAGATGGATGGGGCCAGGTGAGGGCAGGGGGGCTGGCGGCCTCAGGAGGGAGGGAGGGGGGTGCAGTCTGAACGGGGCCAGACGTCTCCCAGCTGCAAGGGGAAGGGAAGGCTGGGGTGCCTCGTCCTCCCAGCCCTCGCCCTGTCCAGCTCTCGCCTTGCTGGGCATTGTGTGAGGCAGGGCCAGAAGTCTTTAGATGCAGGATGGGAAAGGCTCCCTAAGACCAGGGGTGGGGTCTCCAGTCCAGAGCAGCAGACCCCCAGAGCGGGCTGACGCCCCAGCTCACGGGTCCTGTTCAGACCCCGGGGCTCTGCCTCCCTGGCAGTGCAGCAGGGGCCTGGAACTGAGGCTTCAAGAGGTCTCCAAAGTTAAAATCACACCCCCTTTCTTCACTCTAGCTGGGTTGCTGTATGTAGAAAAGTTAGCGGACAGGAGACGAAAGCATGATTTACAGCTGAGGAGAGCTTCACTGGAAGTCCTGGCTGAGATGTTCAGGCACAGAGGGTTTAGTCTGACCTGCTCAGAGCCCGCTCCACCCTGGGAGGGACAGGGCTGTCACAGCACACGGTGCTGGATGCAGGCCGACCAGACGTGGACACGCAGGGGTGCCTGGGATGGCAGGGCAGGTCCACGGCTCCCTCTCCCCAGCATGGATGCCTGAGGTGGGGAGAGGGGAACCCCACGCAATAGCCTAACGAGTACATGTGAGCTACATCCCCAGCCCCCGCACAGTCTGCAAAGTCAGATGCGCAGGAGGCGTGGGCTCTGTGGTCTCTGCGGTCTCTGCAGTGTGCATGCAGCTGTGGTGTGTAGGGTAATGTGAGCCCCTGGGGGCCGTGTCACAAAGGACAGTGCTGACCCTGGCCAGCCTGGGAGAGGACGGTGCCCTCTCCAGGATGGGGCAGGAATAGGAGGCAGAAGGAAACTGCCCCTCACTTGGCAGAGCCTGGGGCTTTTCTGTGAGCTCCCTGCGCACTGAGCACCCCTTCCCTGACCTCTGCCCTCCCTGCCCAGTTTTCCTCTAGGGAGGAAAGACAGTTACAGGACTGATTTATCCGTAGGTGTAAAAGACTCATAAGAGATTTATCCTTTCAGGTCTATTTTGTTTTTATTTCATTTTATTTCATTTTTGCCTTTTGGGGGATTGAACTCGGCCTCATGCGTGCTCAACATGGGCTCTGCACCACACCTGGCTCCATTTGCGTCCCCTGGGAGGCCTGCTTTTTTCCCTGCACAGCACGGCTCCCCAGCGATGGGACTTCCGGCTGTGTGGAGCAAGGGTGTAGGTGGGTGGGGAGCACTGTCCCACGGAAACCCACCCAGATGCCGTTCTTCTGTAGTGACCTGTGTTACGCAGGGCCGGGCCCAGGAGCTCCAGGCAGCTCTGAAGAATGAATGACTGTTGTGTAGACGATTTCAGCAGACTCTGTCCCTAGTGCTCAAGCTGGGGCGCAGGGATCCCAGGATCCGTATCTCCACAGGCCCAGTCTTCACCTCCACAGACACTGTAGCATTTTTTCTTAGACTTCTGCCTCCCATTTTGGTTGGTCCCAAAAGCTGCAAGGACCCCTCAAGGTCAGTACTTCCCATCCGAGCCCCAGTTTCTTGGTTTGCTGGTTTGCAACCAAGATGGGACACTCATGTAGAGAGGGTAGGTGAGGGAAAAAAGGCAAGACCTGCAAGAGAAGTGCCGCGTAGTAGCTGGACGCTGGGATGCACACCTGCAGTCCTAGCTACTCGTAGGCTGAGGCAGGAGGGTGGCAAATTGAAAGTCATCCTGGGCAATTTAACAAGTCCTTGTCTCTAAATAAATAAATGGCTGAAGATTTAGCCTGGCACTCTCTTGTTGTTCAACTCCCAGAACTATCCCCCCAAAATAAATATATATAGGGTTAGATGAAAGGAGACAAGCAAGAGTTACTGCAAGATTGTTTCCTTTCTTGGCCTTGTTCTCTACCTCTGTCCCTGCCTGGGTGGCCCAGCTTCCAGCCAGGATTCAGAAGCAGTCTCAGGACACAGTCCTCCAAGGCCCAGGGGAGGAAGCTCCGCCTGGTTCTCCTAGGAACAGCAGGTGTTCAGGGCTGACTGGCTGGGCATCTGGCCAAGGAAGACCCCTTGGATCCAGGGGGAGTCCAGGAGGGGCCGAGGCACCTTGTGTGTTCTCGCCAGCATCTCTGTGCCCTGCAGCCAGATGCAATGCACTGCAGGAAAGCTAGGCCTCAGGGCTGCCTTTAGCCCAAAAGTACGTGTGCAAGCTGGGCCCATGGATGACACACCTTACTCTTTGGAGGATTTACTGTAGCATCCTCAAGACCGAAATTACTCCTGCCGGGCATGGTGGTGCACACCTGCTGTCCCAACACTTGGGAGGCTGAGGCAGGAGGGTCGCTGTGAGTTCAAGGCCATCCTAGAATACATACTGAGTTCAAGGCCAGCCTGAACTACATAGTAAGACCCTGTCTTGAAAAAACAAAGTGGGAAGGGTAGGGGAAAGGAAATAAGGGAAAAGGAAAAAAAAAAACATGAGAAAATGGAAATAAAGTATTTGTAAATAGGGAAGGGAGGAGGGGGTGAAGGGAAAGCAGGGGTAAGGGGGAGAAATGAGAACCAAGACCTGTGATGTAAAGGTACAAGATCCCAATGATGAATGTAGCTGTACTGTATACCTAAAATGTACCAATAAACTCAATGAGAAAAACAAACAAACAACAACAAGAACCTAAGACTGAAATTACTCACATCTTTCATTAAACATAATAAGTACACCTGTAATTCCAGAACCTAGGAGGCTGAGGCAGGAGGATCACTCAAGTTTGAAGCCAGCCTGGGGTACATAGTGAGTTCAGGGCCAGCCTGAACTACAAAAGGAGACCCTGCCTCAAAAAAACAAAAGCAAATAAACAATGATGTTTGCTCATAAACAAAGACGGCCTTTGGTCGTTAGAGGACTAAGCATTTGGGAACATAGCGTTTTTTTTGTGTACGTGTGTTTGCAGTGCTGGTGAGGGAACCCGGGCCTTGTGCATGGTAGGCAAGTGCTTAGCCATGAAGCTCGACCCCTAGCGTTACATTTACATGTAGGGTGCCATGTTTTTATATTTGTTTTTGTTTTTAGGTTTCGGGTGTCTTTGTGAGCCCTGGAAATTCTCGAAGGCCCCAGGTCCAGGGCCTACGGGACAGGCTGGGAGCCCTGGTTCCCACAGTGGCTCAGGGAGGGTTATGAGCCTCAGGTCTTTTGGCTATCAGCAAGCAGGCCACCTCCCCGCCCCCCATTCAGCTCCCGAGGTCGCTGGGAGCCACCAGCAGCCTGCTGTGAGGCAGGCCTTCCCAGACTCCAGGCACCAGGTAATGTCCCGGCCACACTGGGCTCTGGTCTGAACTCCAGGGGCAGGAGACCGTAAGAGCTGGGAGACGGTCATTTCCTGTCTGGTTTGCACAGGAGGCTGGACGTGTGAGAGCCGAGAGCCCCACAGAGGGCGCCCATGTCACCCCCACAGAGTCACCTTTGATGGCAGGGTGGTGTCTGGTGAGTTCCTGTGGCTGCCCAGAGGCCACGGCACCTCTCTGTGGTCACCAGCCGCTCCTCCAGAGGCCTCCAGGCTCATTAGTGGTCACTGCCTGCCTCTCTTCCCTAGAACGGGACCTCAGGTAGGAGAATGTTCCGGAGCGTGAGCCCTCTGTCTGGCCAGAATTCAGTCTTTAAGTAGTGAACAGGAGACCCCAGGGACTGCTCTCCTGCCCCTAGAAAGCTGGTGGCCTGGCTGGGAGGAGGAGGGAAGCAGCGGAGGTAACCCTGCGGGCCTGTGGTGGGAAGAGGAGGCCAGGCTGGCTCCCTGGGAGGTGGTAGGGAGAGAGGGTGGAGTGGCCTAAGGAGGTGCCTGTCCTGGGGATTGAAGAGGCCCAGGCTGGCAGTGTGTCCGGGACAGCTGGACAGAACTGTGGGGCCGGAGCCCCCTCCTTCCCCGCCTGTGTGGCCTCGGGCTCTGTTTTCCTCCCCCAAGGCAGCCGGGAATTGTGGTAACGTTTTCTCTTCCCATTGGATGAAGCCATGTGGAGTGTGTGTTTATCTATCCCATTAATGCTCTGAAGTAACTGCCAGCTTCCCTTCTGCCTATAAAATCCCCCGGCCCTGGGGTCAGGGTGCTGCTCAGTGTTACAGCGATTTCCTAGCATGTGTGAGGCTCTGGGTTCCATCCTCAGCAACATTAAAAAAAAAAAAAGTGACACAGGCATGGTGGCACATGCCTATACTTCCAGCACTCTGGGAGGCTGAGGCAGGAAGATCACAAGTTCAAGTCCAGCCCAAGCAATTTAGCAATTTAGTGAGAGTTTGTCTAAGTAAATAAATAAAATAAGGGTTGTAGCTCAGCATGAAGGCTCCAGGTTTAATCCCCAGTACAGGAAAAACAAAAAACAAAAAACAAAACCTAGACCTGTGCACCTGAGAACAGAACCAGCAGTTTAGATCCACATGATCGGGGTGTAAAGTCAGCAGCACCTTTAGACCTGGACACTGGCCAACGCTGGAAGACCCAACCTGAGTATAGGAGCACCTGAACCACATGCTGCCTCAATTCTGGGGGCTGGAGGTGTGGCAAGAAGGGTGCCCTCTGGAGATGATACTGCTTGGGGTGCCACCTCACCTCAAGGTGGTCAGAGGACAAGGTCAAGGCCATGTGTGCTGCAGCGAGAAAAGCAAGCATCTGAGACTTTCAGAGCTGGAGACTGCGCCGGGCAAGGCAAGCCAGGAGCCAGGGCTGCCACCCCCACCCCATCTGTCCCGTCTCTCCTGGGGGGGTACAGGAGTCTGGGCGCAGGGGGTGGGGGGTGGCTGGCAGGTAGCCCCACAGGCAGGCCGAGAGGTAGCTGTTCTGGACCAGAGCTCACTCTGGCTTCCTCAGGCTACACCTGGGTCCTCTAATCTGCTCCCCTAAACCATGCAGAGACACATGGACAACTTGAAATGTGGCTGGTCTGAATTCAGATATGCTGGTAGAGTAAAATGCAGCCAAGACATGAAGTACACACAAGGAAAGTATCCCATAAGTGTGTTCGTGCGTATGTGTGTGTATTTGTCAGTCGTCTATCTATCGTCTGTACTAGGAACTGAACCCAAAGCCTATACACTGAGCTACATCCCAAGCCTTTCTTTTTCAATTTTCGATTTTGAGAGAGGGTCTCATGAAGCTGATAAGTTTCCCAGACTGGGCTCAAACCTGAGATCCTCCTGCCTCAGCCTCTCAGAATGCTAAATTTACAGGTGTGTGCCTAGCTTCATTAATGGTTTTGTATAAGACTAGGAGGGTAGAGTGCTTGCCTAGTATACAAAAGGACCTAGTTTTAATCTCCAGCACCACACACACATACCCACACAAATTATATATTGATTACATGTTGAAGTGATAATATTTTGGATACACTGGATTCAATAAAATATATTAAAAACTTAAGCTTTTTAAATGCATCTACTAGAAGATTTAAAATGATATGTGCAGCTCACATGCTTCTGTGGGTTGGTTCTGCAGTCAGGACTTGGGGTATGTGGGAGGGGCTAGGCCAGGGGCTGAGGACTGAGAAAATGCGGGAACTCCTCAGCACCTTCCCGGCAGCCCTTGAAGGATCCTCAAGTTGGGATCCCAGATTTTCATCTTAGAGATCGGGGAGTGGGAGAACTTTTTAGTATTCTACGTGTTGGGTTTTCTTTTGTGGTACTAAGATTTGAATCCACAGCTCAGCCCGTTAGGTAAATGTTACTATCGAGCTACATCCCCAGTACTGTTTATTTTATCTTGAGACAGGGTCTTGCTGAGTTGCCTAGATTGGCCTCGAATTCGTGACCCTCCAGCCCCAGCCTCCCAAGGAGCTGGGATTATAGGCATGTGTATACTACTGCATCTGGCTAGTATTTGATTCATTTGATTATATGCTTTTAAAAAATTCCTTTACAGATTAAAATATTTTAAAACTTTTATGGAAATTTTAGATAATTTCTAATTGGAAAGCATTTTCATAATGTAAGATTTATCTACCTATTTATTTGTGGTATCAGAGATTGAACTCAGCACCTTCATACTGAGCTACGTCCCCAGCCCTTTCTATTTTTTTGTTTTGAGACAGAGTCTCTGTTACTAAATTGCACAAGCTGACTCCAATTTGTGATCCTCAGCCTCCTGCAGTCCTGGGATTATAGACAGGTGCCACCATTCCTGGCCATAGTATAAGATTTTTAAAGTCAGTGTTTTCCAGCTTCCAGGAAGCCAGGCACAGACCTCTGCCAGCCTCTGTGCTGGTCCCCACTCTGCCCTCTTCTCTCCCTCGCTGTCTGGCCCAGGGGCTGCCCACTCTGGGGAAGGCACCACAGCCTTCCTATCCCTTTGCAGAGCAAAGGAGGGAACCATTCCGCTTGAGTCTGTGGCCTGGGAGCTCATTGAGGCTTTCAAATAAGCAGTTAAGGGATGAGCTCCCAGGGGGAGTCTGGCCGAGAAAGGCTGAGTGGGTGGACCGAGAGGAGAGGAGAGAGGGAGAGAGAGAGAGAGAGAAAGAGAGAGAGAGAGAG